AGGGATCCGTCGCAAGTAGGCCACCAGGACGCCCCCCCCTCCCCGAGCGACAGCGCACTGTGAACCCATTGACAGTGGGGCCCACTGTCAAGGGCCCCCACCAGCCGCCCCCCCTCCCGACCGTCCGTGCCGAGCCCGTTTGACAGTGGGGCGTACTGTCAAACGGGCGTCCAGGCCCCCCCCCCCGTGACGCGCCCAGCCCGCGCGCAGTGGGTCCGTAGACTGGGGCCCACTGTCACCCCGCGCCCCCCCCCCCTTTGATCGTTGACAGGGGGGGGGGGGGGCGCTGTCAGATGGGCCCCAGGGCCCCCCCACCCGATTCCAAACCGACTGGGCAGGGCCTTGGGGGGGAGGGGGAGGGGAGGGGAAACATTTCACACGCCGAGGAACTCCAAAGGGGTCGGCGGATTTCAACATCCTTTCCAACGACGCGCTCCAAGACATTTCTGGTTTCGACCAGCTCGCGACCGTCGGGAACTTGATGCACATCTCTGGTAACGTTGCGCTCCAACGCATTTCGGGCTTCGACCAGCTTGGGATTGTGATGAGTAGCCTATCGATCGACCAGAACGGCGCGCTCGAGGACATTTCGGGTTTCAATTGGCTCGTGTCTGTTGGGTTCGACTTGTCTATCATCGAGAACGCTGGTCTCCAGGACATCTCGGGCTTCAACGCACTCCAGAACGTCGGGAATCGCATTTGGATCAACAGAAACGTTGGACTCCAAGACATCTCGGGCTTCCAGCTCGAAGTGCTCTTTTCACTTGGGCCACCTATTTCGCTCTCGATATTTATCGGCTACAACAGCGCGCTCCAAGGCATCTCGGGCTTCGGCCACTTCACAGTCTACAGTCTCGACGTCGTTTACAACGACGCGCTGCAGGATGTCTCGGGGTTTCGCCAGCTCCGTGAATTGCAGGGGGACCTCCATATCGCTCACAACGACGCGCTCCAAGACATCTCTGGTTTCGAAGGGCTTTGGTTTGTGCTCGGGGATGTCTCCATCGAAAGCAACATCGCGCTGCAGGACATTTCGGGTTTCGGCGTTGTTAGTGGCGTGTATGGGATCTTCGCTATTAAGGGCAACTCTCAGCTCGAATCGATTTCGGGTTTCGAACGCTTGTTTGCTGGATGGGGTTACGTGGGCAGCCAGGTACACATTCTTGACAATCAGGGTCTGTGCCTCCTCGAAGCCGACAGAATTATGCTCAATCTTCTTTCCAACTCCAGCCATGACGAGCTGCAAGGATGCATGTGCGGTGCCGGCAAGTATTATGACAGCCAAACTGCCCGGTGCGCTTGGTGTCTGCCCAACTCGTATTGTCCCCTCGGGCTCGCGAGTCCTCTTACTTGTCCTAACAACTCCGAGAGCGAGCAAGCAGCAGCGACGGAAAGTGATTGCCTCTGCAGTCGCGGCTACTACAGGGAAGATGGCATCAACGGTTCTTGCGCACCCTGCCCACCTTTCATGACGACAACCGACTCCGAGGCAACTCTGGAAGAGTGCGTCTGTGCTCTGGAGCAGTACGGCGGCGAATACACGGGCTTGGTTCCTTATACTGACGGTTGCGGGTGTGCCGATGACTTCTTTTTAGATAGGGTCTCAAAGAGTTGCGTAGCATGCGATGGGGATGCTGAGGTTTGCAGCTGGAGCGATTCGTCCAAAAGTACCCTACCCCCAGAACTTAGACCCGGCTTCTGGTCTCAAGAAGTTGTGGACTTGCAGGACTTTCAAGGGAACTCCATCTATCAGTGCGTGTCTGACGATCTTTGTTTGCCAGGCGCCGGGGGTCAGAACCAATGTTTGGAGACGCGGACAGGTGTAGCGTGTAGTCTATGCGTCGAGGGGTTCGAAGGCTCGCAGACAGGAAAGTGCCAGTCTTGTAACAGAGACAGATCCGTCATGCTTTCGCTTGTGACTATTATTGGAATCGTGATCTTCTACGTTGGGGTCATGCGCTTGAACTCTGTCACGGCGATGGATGCGCGAAAGCATGTGAGGCTCGCCAAAAATATCCTCGGGCAAGTCGCAAATCAGTTGCAGGTGCTTGGCATCATCGGCCAGTTTAACCTCAGCGTTCGTTTGCCAGAGTTTCTGGAGTTCTTCGGGACCTGGGTACTGAATTTCTCGTTCGAGGCTTTGGAAGATGCGCTTGATTTGGATTGTCTGATCGGAGATCAACTTGTCACGTCGCTCCTTGTCACGTGGCTCTTGCCGTGGTTCTTATTTCTACTGGCGTGGATCGCCTTTGGCTTACACAATATCATCGCTTCGCTCATTCCGCCGGCCCGTTTTGTGCCATCGCAGGCGTTTGCCTGCGCGTTCGTGGCCTCTTGGGACCTCTTGGGGACCGTGTGGGGAGCCTCTTGGGGCTTCTTGGGCCTCTTGGGGGCCTCGCGGGGCCTCCAGGCGACCTCCAGGCGACCTCCTGGGCTCTCTTGGGGGCATCTTGGGCCTCCTTGGGGCCTCTTGGGGCGGAAGGCTCGCATCGTCGGCTCGTGTTAACCTTCTTGAGCCCCTCTTGGGGCCGTCTTGGGACCCTCTTGGGCGATCTTGGGCCTCTGGGGCCGTTTTGGAGCCCTCTTGGACCGTCTTGGGGCCCTCTTGGGGGCCTCTCGGGCCGTCTTGGTGCGGTCTTGGGGGCCTCTGGGGCCGCCTTGGAGCGTCGGAAGCCCGAAAATGCGAGAACGCGAAAAACATAGTAACACAAAAGATAATCAACGATGTTTGCTTCTTTTGGCCCTCGTTGGGCTCCTCCTGGAGCGCTCTTGGGGCTTCTTTGCGGCCCCTTGGGCCGTCTGGGGGCCATCTTGGGCGTCCTGGAGCGACCTTGTCGTGTCCGGAGGCCCGTAGGACCATTTAGAGGGCCTCTTGGGGGCCTTAGGACCGATCTTGGTGCTCTTGGGAGGCCCCGAGGGCGGCGCCCAGGACCAGAACCATCTCTGATAGGAATTAGCTGGGGACCTGCTCGGCCGCCCCGCGCGCGCGAACTAGAAATATTGTTTACCAGTTACTTGAGATTTTAGCATGGCTCTGGCCTGTTGGGCTGGCGAATTTTCTCTCGTGGTTGACGCCCATGCTCTCTGCCGGGCGGTGCTCTGTGCAGAGGCTTAGATGGGAATCAGTCGTAGGAGCGGTCATTGTGGTGTGGTACACTTGTTTGATTACTTTCTTCAGTCGAAGCTTGATCTTTTTCGATTGCTTCGAGCACAAGAGCGGGGCAGTGACAATCAATGTGCACAGAGCAGAGAGCTGCGCGGGCTCTCGATACCTAAGGTTGCAACCTTGGGCTGTAGCCATGCTGTTGATCAACGCAATCGTCACCTCCAGTCCTCTTGTTTTCATGGTTTATGAGATTTCTCGTGGTCGGGGAAGAGGTCCGATGTTCAAGGCGTGCTTCGAAAATATTTATAGTGGGGCCAGGAGGTCGACATATTGGTGGCCGCTAGTTGAGGTAGTCAAGGACTTGACCCTCGCATCCCTGCCAGTTGTGGTCAACGCAACAATCGGGAAAGATGTGGCTGTAACAAGCATCGCCCTCTCCTGTGTTCTTGCAGTCTACTTGATGAGCGTCCTCGCCATGCAGCCCCACGAGGAGCTGCCGCTGCATCGGCTGGACATCTCGCTGACGGCGTCGCAGTTGATACTGCTATCGGCGGCAGGGGCGCTTACAGAAAAGACAACCGCAGCACGGGAGCTCATCTTGTTGCTGGTCTTGCTGCCGACGTCGTTGATGCCCCTGGCTGTGGCGGCATTTGTCTGCCTCACCCTCGTTACGGCCGTCCTTCCAGAGCGGGCAAATGCTGCTCTCATGAGGGTGTGGGTCAGTTCTGCTCGTCTTCGCAGGTGCGTCGCTTCTCTTGGCTTCCAGGACGCGGCCGCCGATGGCGAGGAGGCAAAACGCTACCTGCAGGCTCTGCTCCAGCAGGATCCGTGCACGAAGAAGGCCCTCCTGGCTGCATGCGAGGAGAAAATGGACCCGCTGGAGGCGCGGCAACTTCTCCACGCCATCCGCGTGCTTTTCGCGGTGGCACGGGCAGACGAGCACGTTTTCCGCCGGCCTCTGCCCCCTGGAGTGGGGCCCGCGCAGATCGCGCTCGTCGCGTGCCACCAGCAGGAGGCGGCGCGGCACGAGGCCATCGACGAGGACGCCCTCGACGCTCATGCCGTGGCGAGCGCCGAGGACGCGCTGAGCGCCAGGTCGCTGCGAGCGTCGTTGTCGACTCAGCGAGCGTCGAGGTCGACTCGGAGCATGAGCTCTCGAGGATGGGCGTGGCGCGAGCAGTGGGCGAGAGCGAGCACGCCTTCCGTGCGGACGGTGTGCGAGCACGAGGCCGACGGAGGCTGCGCCCTCGAGGCCCTGGACATGGCGAGCGCCGAGGGGGCGGCGAGCACTGTGGAGGGCGCTCGGGGACAAGCGGGCGAGTGGGAGTCCGAGGGCGTGCTGCCCAACGCCGTCGGGGACCTCGCGTGGCGCGTGCTTATCCGCGGCGCCGCGGCGACCGCGAGTGCCGGAGTCGGCCCGTAGTCAGCGCGCTTCTGCGGCGATTTTCCGGCGCATCTCCCTCCTTCTACGTGGAGGGACGCTCCTGCCACGCGCGAGGCAGCGCGCGCAAGGAGTGGAAGGGTGCATGTGGAGGTGCAGAGGAGGTGGAGGAGGAGGAGGAGGAGGAGGAGGAGGAGGAGGAGGAGGAGGAGGAGCAGGAGCAGGAGGAGGAGGGGGCGGAGGGAGGAGGAGGAGGAGCAGGAGGAGAAGGAGGAGCAGGAGGAGAAGGAGGAGCAGGAGGAGGAGGGGGCGGAGGAGGAGGAGAATGCATCAGGCATGTGACCATTTTGGTACTACGGAGGCCCAAGAGTGTCAGAGGGATCTGAGACCATCCAGACGAGCATAATACGTGCAGCTCGTACATTCTTTTTCACGTTTCACTTTTTCTGTATATCTGCCGCGACTTCCTTTTGGTTGTACACATTACGAAGCAGGAGCCATCCTGGCACAGGCGAACCAGGGCACGGATGGTTCAATTTGTGCGCAGGTCCCTGTGAATGACCGGTAGCAGCAGGAAAAAACGTTGGATTACGGGACACATTGTTTCAACATTTGTTCTTCGTGTAACTGCGCAGTATCAGGATTTGGAGTTGGCAAGGGCTGCAGCAGAAGCAGCGTTTGGGTTGTGACGGAATTTAGATTTGGGAAGGATTTTGCAAAGAAAGCGATTTGATTGGGAAGGGTTCTGGGTTCGGGAAGGATTTTGCATAGAAAACGCTTGGTTGTGAAGGGTGTCGGGGTTGGGAAGGATTTTACGTAGAAGACGCTTGGGTTGGGAAGGAATCTGGGGTTAGGAGGGTTTGGAACGCTTCAGGGAATCAATATCTGGCAATGTTCAATGCGCCCACAGTCTGTGATCTCAGGGCCCACCATCACACGTGGCATGTAAAACTTATCCAGGCGAAGGACCCAAGCATATGCAGTTGTGAGTACCGTCGAAGTGGGTATCGCCTGCGGTGGATTTCCTTATGGATCCACGAAGCGTGTGAAGGCTGCGCCGAAATGGGGCGAGGCCACCATGCGGGCGCTGCCACTGGGGCCTGAGGCAGATCCCCCTATTGGGCCACAGCGCGTGTGAGGGGTGTGCCGAAATGGGGCGGGGCCGCCATGCGGGCGCTGCCACTGCTGGGGCCTTAGGTGGAGCTCCTCATAGGGCCACGAAGCGTGGCTCGCGGGCCCTGGCACTGGGGCACTGGGGCCTTCAGTGAAGCTCCCTATGGGGCTGCAAAACGCCTGAGGGGTGTGCCGAAACGGACGTGGCGCCCACATGCGAACGTCGGCACTGGCCTTTGGTGGACCTCCCTATGGGGCCACGAAGCAAGTGAGGGGTATGCTGAAACGGCCGTGACGCTCACCTGCGAACGCCGCCACTGGGGCCTTCGGTAGAACTCCCCATGGGGCCACGAAGCGGGTCAAGGGTGTGTGTGCCGAGACGGGCGTGACGCCCACTTGCGAACGCCGCCACGGGGGCTTTAGGTGCAGCTCCCTACGGGGCCACGAAGCGCGAGAGGGGTGTGTCGACACGGGTGTGGCGGCCACACACGGACATGGCCACTGGGGCCTTACGTGGAGCTCCCGCTGGGGCCACGAAGCGCGTGAGAGGTGTGCCGAAATGGTTGTGGCGGTCACATGCGAACATGACCACTTGGGCCTTAGGTGGAGTTCCCTATTTGGCCACGAAGCGCGTGAGTGTGCCGGAAATGGTCGTGGCGGTCACACACACGGACATGGCAACTTGGGGCTTAGGTAGAGCTCCCTATGGGGCCACGAAGCGCGTGAGAGGTGTGCCGGAAAAGGGTGTGGCGGTCACATCCGGACATGGCAACTTGGGCCTCAGGTGGAGCTCCCGATGGGACCACGAAGTGCGTGAGAGGTGTGCCGGAAAAGAGTGTGGCGGCCACATTCCAACGTGGCCATTGTAGCCTCAGGTGGGGCTCCTTATGGGGCCACGAAGCGCGTGAGGGGTGTGTCGAAATTGGGCCACGAAGCGTGTGAGGGGTGTGTCGAAATTGATGGGGCGGCCAAGCGCGAACATGGTCACGGGGGCCTTAGGTGGAGCCCCCAATAAGGCCACGAAACGTGTGACGGGTGTGCCGAGTGTGGCGGCTACATGAGAACATGTGCATTGGGGCCTTAGGTGGAGCTCCTTGTGAGGCCACGAAGAGCGTGAGGTGCGTGCCGAAGTGGATGGGGCGGCCACGCGCCAACATTGCCACTGAGGCCTCAGGTGGAACTTTCTTTCGGGCCACGAAGCGCGTGAGTGGTGCGCCGACATGGGTTGGGGCGGCCAAATGCGAACACGGCTATCGGGGCCTTAGGTGGAGCGCCCTATGGGGCTACAAAGTGCGAGAGGGGTGTGTCGACATGGGTGGGGCGGCCATATGCGAACCGGGCCTCTGGGGCCTTGGGTGGAGCTTCTTATGGGGCCATGAATCGTGTGAGGGTGTGCCGAAACAGGGGCATACTGAGGACAGAGGCAGGGATGAGAGGGGGGATAAGGGGGAGGGGGAAGAATCAGTGTAAACCCAAGATTAACCAATGATGTTGCAGTGAGCCTTTCCTCCAAGCTCCCTCTTCACAGGCTCCTACAAGGGTTAAATTTCAGAGCCCCGTTGGAACATCGCCGACCGTGCCAAAACACCATTCCTGGGACTTTCGCGCTAAGAGTCAACGCTACTGCTGCTTCCTAACGGTCCTAAATCCTTCAAAAACACGACATCTGGGACGCCCATTCCGCGAATCAACGAGACTCTCGCGCCCTCGCACTCCTACATCGTGCCAAAACACCGTTTCTTGGACGTGAGTCGCAAGAACCCGTGAATTTGTTGTACACTGTTAAAACGAATGAGGCGAGAGCCGCGCCTTGACAACAAGCCTTCCATCCGTGCAGCTCTCACAAACTTTGAAGACGAGTGTGCGCGGCGCTAAAGCGAGATCAATATTTTGAAAACGACCCGCCCTCCATCCGTGAAGCTGTTGTTAGTTTCAGGCTTCAGGTCAAGCATGGTCAGGAACTCTCAAACTAATCGCCCGACCCGCCCTACCGACCTGTCTCGGGGTGCGACAGGGAGGAGGTGTTTATAGGAAGAGGGAATAGAAGGAGGAGTGGCGCGGGGCGCTGTCTCTCCAAAGCGAGGACCCAACACCACAGGATGGTTGGGAAAAAGGGAGGCCCCAACACGTGCCGAATTGGCCCGCAATAGGCCCCAAGAGGCCAAAAGAAACCCCGACGCCCCCACGAGGCCTGCGAGAGGCTCCCCATCGGTTTCCAAACGCTAAAATCCACGATATTTTTTGGATGGCCGTTATGCCGACCAGTGCGCCGTTATCCCTTGTCGTGACCACCCGGGAAACCATAACGCCTCCGAGGTCACCCGCAGGCGGCCCCCGAGACGAGCTCACCAGGGCCCCGACGAAGCCCCCCGGGTCCCAGAGACGCCCCAAAATGCTCCGAAGCACATGACCAGAACATGATAAAGCTGTCAGAAGTGACCGCTGGGAGCTCACCAAGGCCCCGACGAAGCCCCATGGGTCCCAGAGACGCCCAAAATGCTCCGAAGCACATGACCAGAGCATGATAAAGCTGTCAGAAGTGCCCGCTGGGAGCCCCTTCAAGACTCCAGAACCCACTTCACGGCCCCCTGGCGGACGAAGAGGGCACGAGAACAGCCCATGGGGCCCTCGAAAGAGCCCAGGAGGTCCTTGAAGACGCCTCCAGACGCTCCCGAATTCGACCCAACACTTCTCAAGAGGCCTCCAAACGTGCTCCAATTTGGCCACGGGACTATCCTTCTGTTTCGGCGACCTCCCCTCTGGTCCAGTCCTGCGCAGGCGGCCCAGGTGGGCCGGCTCTGATTCTACCTGGGCTCACCCGCGGGGGGGCCTAGTGGCCTCGCGTCGCTCCTCCCGCGCCTCCCTCCTTTCCCTCTCCCTCCTTGGGGTTCGCAGGGGTTGCTACGTGGCAAAGGCAGCGACGTCCGCTGTCGTTTGGCATGGCACTGGACAAGCGCCCCTCCTTGCCGTGCTCCTCCTCGTCGTCTCTGTCTCCGATTTTCCGTCCTGTTTCTCCTCGTCTTTCGCCGTCAGCCACGGGCAACGGGGGGAGTCCAACAAACTAAATTAGAGGGAGGGACACACTTGTCATAATCATACCGACATGCAGTTTGGAAGCAGCTCAAACACAGGACGGCGACATACTCATACGAAACACACACAGCAAACAATCTCACAGACAGGACGGCACCGAGACAACATGAGCAAGCAGTGGACGCGCAACTACCGTTCGAACTTTATCTAGCACGGGTTCAACTCATTGCGGGCAACCCTGAATCATTCAAATAACACGACAAACACATGATACTCATCGCAGCCGGTATCCGAATCTGTACGGCCAAGTACGATACATCTTATGCGGGGCGGGGCCACATCAAGATAAGAACATCGACGAAGATCTGGAATGCCAGTTGACATGCAAAATTGTACAAGGCCGCAGCATCCAAGACACGAAGCGAAACAACTAATCTATACACATATATATATATCAGGGGCAGTCAGGTTTCCTTAAATTGCGCGAGGTCGCCTGGGGATGTTCCAGGACTTGAAAGCTCGCGGGGCGGGACTTGCCATGGGGGCGAGTCTTCGCCCCGACCTATTCTTTACAGACGGGATTTCTAACATTTTGATTTGGTGAACCAATATTAATCAGCCCCCAGGGCGCGCCCAAGTCCCGCCCCGCCCCGACAGCGCGTCTTCGCTACGAGTCCAGGGGGTGATGGGGGGAGTTATCATCATGATCATCCTAATGTTGTTTTATGACCATCATGGCAGTCGCCATGGCCATGATCTTCCCGAAAGTGGTTGCCATCGTTGTCACGATCGGGACCGTCGTCATCGCATCGAGGCTCGCCGACGTCGTCGCCATGGACGCGATGGAGACGGCCGCCGCTGACCTCGAGCAATTCATTACCATGGCCGCAGTGCCGAGCACATTGGCGCGCGTCACCAGACGCCCGCAGAACCCCCCTGCCCCGCGCCACGCGCATCTGAACAATTCAAGGAGCTTTACGTCACCGCAGTGGTAGGCCAATATTCACTGCAACGCGAACCGTTTCAAGCAATTCAATTACAGGACGGAACACTGACAATAAAACACCGTCGGCCTAAAACTTCGAAACACATCACATGCAGGGCGACGTTGTACTCATACGAAGCACACGCACAAAATAACTCGCATGTATCTGCGCAATTGACGCATACCTGCGATGCGAACGTGACGCAGCGCGAGTTCAACCGCAGGACGGGCAACCCTGAATTATTTAAAGCGATCAGACAATTACATGGTAATCGTACCCATTCCTCCGCTTACTCGCCCCTCACTACTCACTCGTTCGCCTACTCCGCTCATGCTCTCCCGCCTCCTCCTCTTCCTCCTCCTCCTCCTCCTCCTCCACCTCTTCCTCCTCCTCCTCGTCCTCCTCGCCCTTCTATGGCCCTACCTCAGTGCAAGGATCAAGGGTG